GATGCTCCTGCAGCACAGAGATGGACCCTGAGGGCAGGTAAGAGACATTGTGAGTGCAGGAATGTCATGAATTAACACCAGTCACAATTCCTCTTGGAAAAGGGAAAATATTGGGGAAGAAAATCAAATACCACAGTTTTTTGTCAATACTCCCCATGCAAAGGTGGGATGAGAAAAAGCGAGGCATGAGTTTGTAGAAAGAAATTAAAATATTTCAGTCACAATTTTTGCTGAAGGGTGGGGATGTAAAAATGTATCAATAAAGAGTTGCCCAAATGAGGAGAAGGAGGAAAGGACTCTGCAGCTGCTGTTGCACAGGGCAGAACTGAGGGCAGCCATTCAGTTCCAAAAGCAGAATCCTGGGACCCTGTAGTGGTTCAACAACAAAGGAGACCACCTTGTGACAAGTCCCTCCAAGTCAGGAGGGGAGAACCCACCTCACCCATGTCCAGCAACGGGTAAAGGGCTGGGTTTAACCCAAAGTACACCCAAAATTTATCCTCCAGCCTGATCCATGAGCATCAGAGCTAGGCCAGCACATGCCTGGGAAGGAAAACACTTCTCCCTCCCTCTTGGGAGGGAAAAACAAAAAGTACTTCTGAAAGATCCCCTTCCTACAGGCTCTGCGCCTCCATTTTCACAGACATAGATATGAAGACTATCAGCATTATTAACTGTTGCCCCAAAGTAGTACCAGCATAAAAACTCTGAAAAAAATCAAATGGAAAAAGATTTTTCTAAGGATGATCCAAGCTCAGGACCAGTCTCAGCCCCACCACATCCATCCCCACCACATCCACCCCGGCCAGGCTGGGCTCTAGAGCAAAACAAACATTTAGGAAACAGTCCAGGGAGGAGAAGGAACTGGACAGAGAGCCCAATGTGTGTCACTTCACCTGACACCCAGTGCTGGTACCTGGCTCAGCTCCGGTGTGGCCGCATGCTCCTGCAGGGCATCCAGCTCTGGCCAAAAAGATCCAGCACCAAGCAGGAAGGTGTTAAAAGTCCCCAGTACCAACCCCTGAGGAACCACAATAAATAACCTCTGAGTAAACACAGCGGCTGCTCCCCATTCGCCTTCCTGTTTGCTTTCGCAGATCCGGGCTGGGACGTCCACTTCCAACTGCTGGCCCCATCCCGTGCTGGCGTAGCCGAGCTGTGGCCACGGCAGAGCCGTCAGTGGCACCGTGCTGTCACTGCCACCGTGCTGTCACTGCCACCGTGCTGTCACTGGCACCCTCCACCCGCACGTCGGGCCCCGGGACCGTCCCTGCCACAGGGGACCGTGGGCACAAGCTTCCCAAAGGGATTTATCCCCCGGGACAGGCACTGATCCTGCATCTGAGCCCGTGCCTGCTGCCTTTGCCTTCCTGCTCTGTGTTTGTTTTGATTCTAAAAAGAGGAAATCCCAGCTCACCCACTCCCCATAATGGAGCCATGCTCTGTGCCTCAGTTTCCCCGTCTCTCCAGCATGGGAGCCCAACATCACTCGGATTCCCCTCTCCCTCCCTGCCCACCCAGCCCTGGAAAACAACAACAACAAAAAAAAAAAGGAACGGATCCTGATTTACGGGCACTTCTGTGCTTTACCACGAACACAAAGGAGAGGGGAAAACAACAAGCGGCAAACTCACAGCGAGGATCTGTGTCAGGAGCAACTAGGGGGTCCGGGGCAACCCCCCTGGCAGAGCAGCGCCGACCGCCGAGTCTGACAATAGATAAGGGGCTAAATTGGGAGCTGGGCTCCGGCCCCGGGCTCTGAAAGGCGATCGGAGTGGGGGAGCGCCGGGCTGTTTATTTGGCTCCAAACTCCGCACCGACACTGCAGCGTCACCCGTGTTTAAAATAGGAAGGAACGAAAAAAAAAAGGGGAGGGGGGACAATAAAAAAATAAATAAAGAAACAAAAAGGGAGAAAAGTGCATGCACACGCTGAACAATAACAACAAAATTTAAAAAAAAAAAAAATCAAGAGAAAAGGAGCCGGGGGACGGGGGGAAATAAAAGGAAACCCAGTTGGGCTGGCGAGGTTTAAAGCGACGCCTGCTTTAAAAAAAGAAGTTGCTAATTTTAACTCTCCAGTGGAAAGAGTGAGAGGTACTTACAGGAGACAGGGTGGCTGCGTCCTTCTCCACGGCTGCTGCGCGCTGGCGGCCGGGAGGAAGCGCCGGCCGGAGCCGCCATCCCCGAGCGCCGGCAGCGCTGCCCCGGCCAGCGCCGGCCCCGAGCCCCCCGAGCCCCCCGAGCGGGGCCGCGGCTGAAGGGCAGAGGCAGATGCGGAGGCAGAAGGGGGTGGTGAAGCCTGCGGGGGGAAGGGAGCGGCCAGAGCTTGCCAAAAGCAGCGGCCGGGCTCGCTTCCTCCGGCAGCCCGAAGCCCGAGCACTGGGACGCGGGGAGTGGACGCCGCAGGACCCCCGGGGAGGCGGGAGCCAGCTGCTGGATCAGATGACATTTCTGCGCGGACGTTTCTGACCACGCTGGCTTTTCCCCAAGGGAAAAGGGCTTTGAAGACAGTTTTTTTTCCCCGCCAGTGGCAAAATAGAGGATGAGCTCAGAACCCAAAGTGCAGGGCAGAGCCATGACCAGAGAAGGCCACCCGGCTCCAGGGGGACTGGAAAGGTGACCTCCAGCAGCTCAGCCACGTTTCAGCTGCGGCAAACACAGCAGGAAGCCACTGCTTTACCAAATTCAGTATTCCATATCCAGAAGGGTCAGCAGTGGGGATTTGGTTTCAGTGCACCCACTGTCTAGATTTTACAGGCTCTCTCTGGAGATCAGGAGGATCCTGCCAGCTGCGAAGAGCCAGGTGCCAGGTGAGGTGGCACACTCACACCTCGAGCACAGTGGGAGCCTGGAAGGTGCAAATTCCAGTTGCCAATGAACCTTCAAAGAACACAGGCAAGGCCTCAGACAGCAGAGGAACAGACCTGGTGACCCAAGGTCTCTTCCCAAGCAGCTGGAAATGAGCCTCAGGCTGAAAAATCTCACCGGGAGAGAAGCAGGTGCATGCAAGGATGGACACGTGATTTACCGAGCATGGCTGCAGCAAGAGATGTGACCGTCTTCAGGACATGAAAGAGTCGATTCAATTAAGGTCACAGGCCCTAGAAGAGTCTTCTGTCACAGAAGAAGGTTTGCCTGGTTCGCCTCAAACGGGGCTGGCCTCAGACAAAATGCCTATTGATCGCAGGCAGCGATGCTGCACGTCCAGGACGTGAGGACGTGGCTTCAGTGGGATTAAATCGCCCGGTGCCGGCCGTCACACGCTTCTGAGGCTGGGTCGATATTGCTCCTCTAATTGCTCAGCTCCTGTCACTCGCAGAGCGAAGGGGACAAGTCTTAAAGCAGTCCCCAGAGACGCTTTTCAAAATCCTCCTCCCCGAGCGCACCACTTGCTGAGCTGCTCCTTGGAGCGAGCAGTTCTGCAGTTGCAGAAATCACTAAACTGCTCCTCCCCGCTCAAAACTCTGTGCTGGCACCAGTGGCAGTACGAGGGCTTTGCGGGAGGACACTGCCAACCCAAAACTCGAGAATTTGTGTGAAACTAGAAAACAAGGAGCTGTTGTCACTGGTCAGGACAGCAGCAAGCAGTGATGTGGGGGAGAAGGCAGTTACCAAGAGATTCTGCCACCACCCACCAGCATCCGGGCTGGGAGATGGAATGTGCACGGTCCATCAGGACTGCAGTGTTTGGGAGCCAAGGAGGGTCCTGCCCTCCACACACAGCCACGGCAGACAGACCCATCGCCCCAGCACTCCAAGTAATCATTCACCACATGGAAACACGTGGCCCTCAGCTAGTATTCATTTGTGCCCAGAGCGAGTGGATCAGAGCTGGTCCCACAGCATCCCCCAGAACATTCCCGGAGCACTCAGCTCAGCCACAGCAGGACAGACCCGGCCCAGCCCTCCAATCCTCCTGTCCTCTGGCACACCATGGCCCAGAGAGCCATTGGCACACCCCAAGCACCACTGAGACACAGCAGGGCCCTTCTGCTGCACTCCCCTGACCCAGCCTGGGGAGCTGCTCTTGGTTTCTATCAGCAGATGAAGTCCTTGGTGTTGACCTTGCAGAAGATGCAGTGACGCTGCCCCCATCTCCCACCACCAGGCCTCCAAATAAATCACCTGCCCCCTCTCCAGCACTAAAAGCCATCACAACCCCACAAAACTGCTCACTAAGCAGTCGTGACAGAGCCCCCTCCGTTCAGGAGCTGGGGGCATATTATTTTTAAAAATCTTTCCTTTTATTGATTTCACTCTCAGGTACAGAAGATGCATTACATGAAACCATAGAGCCCTCATAAACCAGCCCACGGTGGTGTCTGTACCACAACCTCACTGCAGACACAGGAGACACAAACATTTACCGTAAGAGGAATAAACAGGCCAAGAAGGTGAAAAGGAAGAAAACCTGGATGTGAGGCCTCTCCCAGCAGTGCCTTATTTTAGAGGAATGCAAGGGACAAAATAACAGCGGGTTTGGCCACAAGTCTTGTCTACACTGGGAGAAAACAGGGCAGGAAAACCTTCCTTTGCACTGATACATGGGGCTGTGTTGCAAAACACCCAAAGAGCCCCAAATCAGTGCTGTGGCTACGGCTGGGAGCCATCAGAGCTGTGCCAGATGGGGAAGTGAAGGGGAAGACGGGCACTGGAGAACAGCAGTGGCACTCATTGCTGGGTGCCACCTCCCTGCCCTGCTCTGGAGGTTCTGCTGCCCCATCCTGCACACCAGGACCCCCCCATGCAGAGCAGGTGAGGAGTGCACAGTGCAGCAGGATGCTCTCTGTGCCCTTCCAGCACCAGACCTCACTGCTCCTCCTGTCACTGGAGCAGGGCTGCAGGGTCTGGCTGGCACCACTGTGGGAGCCTGAGACCCTTGAGCTGCATCCTCTGTGGGACCCTCTGCTCGCTCCCAGCCTGTAGCAGGGGACATGCATGTGGCCAAGCAAACCCAAAGGGAAAGCAGGAACCCAGAGCTCGGGATTTCCCCCGTACCTGCTACGCAGCCTCCTGCATCTTCAGCTCCTGCCAGGGATGAGCTGCAGCCACCGCTCCTCAATCCAACTGCAAAGACAAAGCAAGCAGCTGTCAGTCTGAGGGGACAGAGGCAAGGACAGGACTCCCCATGTGTCCCATCCAAGCACAGACAGATGGAGGGAACAGTGAGGGGAGCCCAGTAGCCCCAGCAGACCTGGCTGATGGGAGAGGGGCTGCAAGGTCCCCCCCTGCACTGTCCTGATCCTTAACATCACTGCAAGGGCCATGCCATGGATGGGACCTGGCCAGGCACCTGCAGGGATCCAGGGAACCAGGAGCCCTGGGGCTATGCAAGGTGGAAAGCATCCCAGTGAGACCAGAGGCAAAGAATTTAAAGAGAGTTCAGGAATGAAACAAATCATAAAACCAAAAGTTAACATTAACAAGGGATGTGGCCCAGGCAGACAGCGTGGCCGGCAGAGAGTTGCTCAAAGTTTAGGTAACTTTGTGTTTTCTGGGAAGATTCTCAAGCACATCCCACAAGAAAAAGCACTGATCTGCTTTCTCAGACACTCTCCCAGGGAATGCAAGCAGCACATGTGCTTGACCCAAGGAGAAACTGCCATGGCCCAGAAGGAAATGCAGCTCCTAAACTCATCCCACTCACCACTAGGAGATGGGAGGAGACCCATGGGGCAAAGCCCAGTGCCTTCAGCCGGCCTTGTGCTGGTCACTACCGGTGGTCACAACCATCTGGCACTTGTGCAGAGCCCATCACCACAGCACACTCCCATGAGAGGAACGGTGCTGAACAAAAGGGAAACTGAGGCACAGAGACCAGCACCGCGAGCTCCCAAGCTGCAGCCTCACCCCCAGCACCTGCAACAGAGCGAGGAATTGTGCTCAGCTTTCCGGCGTCCTCATCCTCCGCTCCAACCACAAAACCAGCCTTCCTCCCCCGGCTGCCTCCCCTCCCACAGCCAGCTCATTTCCTGACATTACAAAATTCAGCCTGAACAAAGACAGAGCGAGGAGCGTGTGGCTCTGTCCGGGGCTGCACCTTCCTCTCGCTCCCGAGGAGCCAAGTGGAGGGGACACCCCTAAACAGCCGAGGTGCAAGTGGCTTTCCAGCCTCAAACCTCACAGCACTTGGGCTGGGGTTCTGTGAACGGACCAGTCCCAGGGATTCCCTCATCAGGACAGATGAGTCTGTCTTCCACGACGGGGAGGAGCAGTGGGGACAAGGATGAGGGGCTCCAGTACTGCCACACTTGCACCCATTATGCCCAGACCAACCTGTCATCACCCCAGGACCACTCCTTTATTTCCCTGAATAAAACAGAGTGTCCAACAGAATGACTGACCACGTGGGGACAGGAACACCCACGGAAGAAACACCACTTTGCAAGTGCCACACTCCCAGCCAGGACAAGGGAAGTGGTGTTTAATGCAAAGGGTCTCTCAATGGGTTCCTGAACCTCCTCTTGTTGTCCGAGCAGCTCTCACTGATCTCAGCACTGCAGTGCTGGTGGCAGAGCCACGTGGGGACCAGGGACCACAGGCTAGGCTGGTGGAGGATGTGACCAAGGTCTGTGCCCAGGCTGGCTCTGCTTTTGGTCAACTCTACAGCCCAATAGGATGCACTGGACATGTGGCCAGGCAAGTCCTCATATGTCTGTACACAGAGTTGCTTCCTCTCAGTGGGAGATGCTGCTGGACAAGCCAGGAATGTCCGTTTCCAGAAGCTCCAGGATGCCCATGGTGCCATGGGACAGCCAGTACAGCCACACAATCACCACCCACAGACTCACACTGATACAACTGCCCGTGACTGATGGCTGGCAGCAGCCACATCCCTGGCTCCCACAACCCACCAGACCATCAGGAGAACAACTTCTGGCCAACACATGACCCCACACAGCCCTTGGCTGTGCCGCAGCCCCCAGATCGTGACCACTAACAGCAGTGCCTTTGCTGCCCCTTGTTGGGCCAAGATGGGGAACTCCAGGGCCAGCAGGATTGGTCTTGGGGTGCTCAGCCTGCAGGCAGCTCTGACATTGCAGGGTTGCAGCTGAGTGTCATCCGAGGCAGGGATGAACAGCACACATGGGGTGACAGTCCTGAGGCCTTGACCCTCCCCAGCCTGACAGCTCCCGGGCTGCTTCATGCCCCACCCTAGCTGCAGGAGCCTCTGCCCTTTGGACCTGGTGGTACATCCAGCACCAGCAAACCCCAGTGAATCCCCAGCTCCTCATTTTGCAACATTTTGAGCTGGTACAAAGGAGCAAAGCCCTGACTCACTGGCACTGCCAGCTCCCTTGTCTGTCCATGCATGTCCTTTGCCCCATCAAGCGAGGATCCTGGCACTGCTCCCAGAAACTCTGGAGTATTTCAAAAGGTGACCAACCATTTGACCAGCACAGTGAGAGCAGCCCTGGTGAGGGGCTGGGGCTGGGTCAGGCCACTGGCTGCCCCCAGGGCTCCTGGGCACTTCCCAGCTCTCACCCCACCACACATGTGCCTTCGAAGCCTTCTTGTTATCAACAGAGAAATGCTGCCCAGGGAGGGGGAAAGTATTATGTTTTCAAAATGTTCTGTTATTTTATAAGCTGAGGGGAAAAAAACACACAGGGAAGGGATGGAGGTGGCAAAGGCAAGTGAATTCCCTTTCCTGAGTGAAAAACGAAGGGGAGAGAAAGGGGTAAAGACAAGACAATCTTTATGTCCAGCCTTGGGGCAGAAATGCTGAGCAGGTGATAACACTGCTCCTATTTGAAAACCAAAGCTTTGGTTTGACCAAGTAACAAACCAAAATTCCTGAGGGCAGGAGAACGAGGGGAACCTCCTGGGACCCCATTTTTAACTGATGCAGTTAGGCTGGCACAATCTGCCATGCAAAGGCAGCAAAGAGCTGCTCCAACCTGCCCGTGAGGATCCTGGAGGATGTGCAGGAATGGCTTTTGGTGACTTCCCTGGATATCTGCTCAGCTGATGCTTAGCAGCCCCTGTGCCACAGCTGGTCTTTGCTTACACCCTCAATCACATATATACTCCCACATATATAACTCCCCAAAATATCATATTAATATTCCCATACACATAGCCCTCTCAAAATACACATATTCCCATATCTGTAACCCACCAAATATATATCTATTCTCATATGTATAGATAAACCCCCAAATACATATTTATTCCCATGTCTATAAACCCCAAATACATACAACACCTGCCTACATCATATATACAGATAAGACCCCCAAATAAATCATCTGTGGGTACTGCCATGGGGACTTCCAAGCACACAGCTGGAAAGTCAAGGGGAGATGGATGGGCAGAATCAGCAGCTCTGGAGCTGGAGGGGCCAAGAGGGAGGCGCAGATTGCGGAGGGGAAGAGCCGTGACCGCAATCTCTCCTTCCTCTTTTTTCGTGTTTCCTCTAGCAACGGGCCTGGGGCTGCAAACATTTGGATGCCAAACCCAAATTTCCCCACTTCAGGCTCCCAACCCAGCCTGCTGCTCCTCTGCCAGGTGCTCATGGACTCCCACCCCAAACCAGGGAGACTCCAGACCCCATTTCCCAGAGCTGTGCCATCCAGGGAATCCCAACAACAATAAGAGAAAAAAGTACTTTCCCCATTTTTTTCCATTTTTCTCTATTTTTCTCTATTTTTCTCTATTTTTCTCTATTTTTCTCTATTTTTCTCCACTTTTCTCCATTTTTCTGAATTTCCCCAGCCCACGAAACTAAAGCATCTCAGCCATGGCCCAGGCTTCAGTTTGCACAAGCCACTGGGAATATCCCCAGGGTTTAATTAGACCTGTTGAGTCTTTTCCAGTTGGGTTTCCTCTGGCTTGACACCAAGTGGTGGGAAGGAACAAACTGGGAGACATCTCACTGCAAGCAGGAGCATCAGGCAGGACAGGCTGGCAGTTAAACACAGTGAGGAACCCCACTCAGCTCCCAACCATCCAGTGGTGCCAGAGCACAGCAGCACAGCACCAGGGGCTGTGGAAGGGGGACACGTGGGGGCCAGGAGGAGGAAATCCACGTCCAGTGGCACAGGAGGCCCAGCTGGCCAGCACGACAATGCAGCAGTGAGCAATGAGCAAGAACGATGGCACAAGCCAGCTGTGCCAACGTGCAGAGTGTGACCACCACCACTGGAGCTCCTCCAAACCCCACACAGGGATGGGGTGTGGGTACCCGAGCTCAAGGCAGGGTAGGAACTGTGGGGGCTCACACCCCTACTCCACCAGGTCACCTTGCAGAGGTGTTGCCTCACAAGGGTCCCAGCATGGCACCAAATCCTGGATTTGGGAGGGGAGCTGGAAATCCCTCTCCATGAGCTGAGCCACACTGCAGGGAAGGTCAGAGCAGCCAAGTGGCACAGCTGTCGCTGCAAGTGTTGCAACAGCAGCTGCTGGGCCTGCCAGGACCTAGGGGACATGAGGGGGTGTCAGGGAGGGGGGGCACAAGTGCAACCGTTGGAGCCACCGAGTTTCACTCTCGCTGGCTGAGTTCCCCTTGGGCAGCAGAGATGCAGAACTGAAACCTCCAGCTGTATGGACGTGGGGGTGGCTGGAGGTGCAGGAGGGCTGGGGACCAGCACAGCTCTCAGAGCAAAGCCATGCACCACCACACCAGTGACCAAGGGCCGCTGGGGGCACCAGGGGAAGCATAAGACCAGAAGCAGACAGGGGTTTCCTCTGGCTCACAGCACCCATCTTGCTTCTGCCCTCTCTGCACAGCTGGGCCACCCATCTCCTCGGACCCAGCACATCTGGTGGGAGCAGAAATACCCCTGTGCATGCAGGTACCCACACCTGGGCAGGCTCCAGCTGGCATGTACCCACTGCAAAGGCCTGTCCAGGGGCTGACACTGCTGCAGGATAATGCACTCCCAGTCCATTGGGCAAGTGCTGGTCAGCAGGACCATGACTGCCTGCATGGAGTGGTCCCAGCACCAGAACCACCTGCACCTCCCAGTGCAGTGTCCCTCCTCTGAGGCACAGAGCAGGGAAGCAAACTGCAGAGCTGGACACTCAAGCATCTCCCAAATCCCAATTTCTTCCCCCTGACGAAG